CCTGATTAATAGCTCACTTTTCTTGTATTTCAATTTGATTTTATTCTTCTCTTTTAATAGATGTTAATAGTTTATCAGACCATTGCACACTGGAATGTAGAAAGTTCTTTATTTTGTTACTGGACAGATTGAGTGATACTTCCTAACATTCCTAAATTGCAAGATAAAACTATCTTTGCTCTCCAGGGTCAGGATAGGATAGGACCCGGTTGGTTTTAACAGAATGTGTGTAGTTTGTCTTCTGATAAGAAAGAGAATGTCCTTTTTTTTTTACAAGGATCTAAGCATCATTGAGCCAATCTTCCCAGTTGAAGGCAAGAAAAAAATAGCTCTGAAGAAATCTCCAAGGTGCACCAAGCCGCTACCAAAAAGATTATTGCCTGATAGGGATAGGAGAAGGAATGAAGCAGCCATCCATCCACAGGACAGAGGAAAATTTGGTGAGTCTTGATTTTGCCTTTCTCCTAAGAAGCCTCCTAAAGCCCCCCCCCAAGTGACATATTAAGCGGTACATAGAAGTTCTTAGATAAGTTTTTCTTTGAAGGTGAGAGATAAGCCAATGAAAATGTAAAAAGTCCTGTAAAAGGGCTAAGTAAATGAGGTAAAGCTGAGTATAAATTGTTCCCTCAGGCAATTTAACTGGGAAGATAAGCCTGGGAACTTAAAAAGAAAAGGCAAAATAGATGGCGATGATGGGGAAGCTTCTAGTCCTCTTGATGTGTCTACAATAATTTTACAAAGGCTGGCAAGAAGAAATGTAAGTGAAAAGCACTTGCAAAAAAATGACATGTTTGGGCAACAATTAATTAAGTGGACCCCTTGGTTTGGGCTTGAGGCAATAGGATAACCTTGATATTGATTTTCATCAGCTTATTTGGTTTCTCCCCCTGACCAAAAACCAACCCAATTACAAAAAGCCTGCTTTATATATTATAATTATACAACAATTACCTCTCTCTCTGTGTAAACCATTTCTAAAAGGAAAAAAATGAGAAAAGGAAAAAGTACGGAATATAAAAATAGGGTATAAAATTGATAGAAGTTACAGTATTAAAGAAAAAAAATGTTTATTAATTGTAAATACTTGGGTATTATATGTATATTTTAAGAAAACTAAGACACCATTGAAAATATAAATTTCAAAAAGTAATCAGCCTAGTATACGGTAAATCATAAAGACTTAGAAAATCCAATAAAACTTACATATTAACTTTACATATTTATATAGGCAGACAATCAAATTCTGGCTACGGTACCAATTTGTAGCACCAACCAATCTAAAAACAGTTTCAAAGTAATTCTAAAAATTTTCCAAATTCTTTGTCAGATATGCTTTTAAGATATGAAGTTATTTTAGACACTGAGCAATACTCCCCCTAAAGTAGTCAGTCTTCCACAGAATGAAACAAATTGACTTTACCAGGGGTGAAATCTAAAAATTTTCGCTACCGGTTCTGTGGGCATGGCTTAATTAGTGAGTGGGGCTTGGTGGTCAGGTGACTGGGTGGGTGTGGCTTGTTGGTCAGGTGGGCGTGGCCAAGTCGACGTCACTTTGTTGCCCTTTTTTAATCTACAAAACACAACACAACACAACTGGCTCACCCACAAGGTAAAAGCAGCTGTGCTAGACCCAAAATGGCCCCTGCAACAAGCAGAAACCTCACACAGCCCCAAAAAGTCCAAAAAACCAACTTTCACACTTTACACACACACAACACAACACAACACAACTGGCTCACCCACAATGTAAAAGCAGCTGTGCTAGACCCCAAATGGCCCCTGCAACAAGCAGAAACCTCACAACAGCCCCCAAAAGTCCAAAAAACCAACTTTCACACTTTACACACACACAACACAACTGGCTCACCCACAATGTAAAAGCGCTGTGCTAGACCCCAAATGGCCCCTGCAACAAGCAGAAACCTCACATAGCCCCAAAAAGTCCAAAAAACCAACTTTCATACTTTACACACACAAAATTCCACATTCAGTTTTGTGAGATTTTGTGTGTTTGTGTAGTTAGAGTGAAACACTACAGAAACACACAAAATCTCAGAAAGTTGCACAAATATTATTTTATATCTGGATGACTGGGCAACAAACCAAAACAAACAAACAAACAAACAAACAAACAAATGAATGACTGAATGACTAAATAAATAAATAAATAAATAATTGAATGACTGACTGAATGACTGAATGACTGAATGAATAAATAAATAAATTATATATATATATATATAAAAAACCTGGCACACACACACACACACACACACACACACACACACACACACACACACACACATATATATATATATATATATATATATATATATATATATATATATATATATATATATATATATTTGTTTATGTATGTATAGTTAATATTTCGGGTTTCTTCCCGTGTAATTGTGGATATATCCCTAAAAGGGTAGAAGCGACGTTTCGGCAGAATCCCATCTGCCATCATCAGGCTTATGCCAGTAGTCATTTTGCACTAACTGACGTTGGAATTTTAAATCTGGTGCTGGTATTCTGGGATGGCTCCACCTTTTCATTCTGATTGGTTGGGAGTCCCAGTATGTGTTTATTGGCTTGGCTTCGGGTGTATGGTCGGTTTTTCTCCACTAGGTGGCAGGGCTTTATCTTTGTGGCTGGTTTGAATATGATTTGGTTGGGATTTTTTGTGCAATGTTTGGTCCATGTTCCACATATGGTGTCAAGATTCGTCTATCTATGAGAGCAGGTTTCCAAATAGTAGGCAGACGTGAAGTGTCATCCCGTTTATTCATGCAATATGGTCTTTTTTCCATTTCTATTGCTTCTCTGATTATCCTGCCATTGAGATGTTCTATTTTTGCAACTGTTTTTGTTTTATTAAAATTAATGTTGTGTCCTGTTGTATTTATATGTTGAACTAATGATGATGTGTGTTCTTGCTTTTGTATTGAGTTTTTGTGTTCCTCGATGCGCACACTCATTCTTCTGTTGGTCTGTCCAATGTATGTTGATGGGCAGGAAGCACATGGGATTTCATATATGCCTTGATCTTCTAATTCTATTTTGTCTTTGGGGTTTCTCAGAATGGACGATATCTTTCTATCTGTGCAAAATATGGTTTTGATGTTGTGTTTTTGTAGTACTTTGCTAATTTTATCTGTTGTTCCCCTTATATAGGGCAAGATGGCTTTCCCATTGTTTTGTTCCTCTTGTTGTTTTTTATTCTGTCTTGGTGTTGTATGTTTGATCATATTGATGACTTTATTTCTACAGAACCCATTTGATGTCAGTACATTAGTTAGTGTATATAATTCAGTTTGTAAATGTGCTTCATCAGCCAGACGTTTAGTTCTTGTGGTTAATGTTTTGGCAACAGAGTTTATTTGTGCTGGATGGTGGTGTGATTTGGCGTTGAGATAGTGGTTCGTATGTGTCTTCTTTTGATAGATGGTATGTCCTAAGGTGCCATCAGATTTTTTATAAATTAATACATCGAGGAAAGGTAACTGGTTTTCTGATTCTATCTCCATGGTGAACTTTATTTTGGGATGGAGGCTGTTCAAATGTACTAAGAAGTTTTCCAATTTATCTCTTCCATGTGGCCAGATCACAAAGGTGTCATCAACGTATCTGAGCCATAATTTTGGTTTGTTAACAGTTTTTTCTAAGCCATTGGATTCGAATTCTTCCTTGAAAAGATTAGCGATGACTGGTGATAATGGTGATCCCATTGGTGCACCTTCTACTTGTTTATATCTCTGTCCTCTGTGTATGAAATATGTGTTGGATAAACAATGTTCTGTTAAGTTTGTGATATGTTTTGGTAGTTGATATTTGTTTTTAATTGATGACAAGGCTTCTTTGACAGGTATTTGTGTGAATAGTGATACAACATCAAAGCTTACAAGAAGGTCACTTTCTTTTATGTGTTGCTTTTTTATTATTTGTATGAAATGGTATGAGTTCTGTACATATGAAGCAGCAGATTCTGCGTAAGGTTGAAGATGTTTTGCTAAATATCTGGCTAGATTTTGTAAAGGTGAGCCTATGGAACTTACTATGGGTCTGAGAGGTATTCCATCTTTGTGTATATATTGTATATATATTTGCCTCCAGAAGTTGTGGGTGCTCCACCACCAGAATTTTTAAAGAAAAGATGGGACAGCCATTTCTCCAAAATGATATAGATTCTCTTACTTGAATAGGGGGTTGGATTAGAAGAACAACTCACTGTTATTCTGTTATTCTATAATATGCCAGTAACTAAGAATTAAGCAGTTTTTTTAAAAAAAGATACTGAATCCTCATCATTTTAGCTATTGTTTATCCACTGCAGGATGAAGGCCTCTTCTTCATGTTTCCAACCAATATGATCCTGAGCTTTCGCTTGCCAATTGGGCCCACAATACTTGGTGATGTTGTTGATCTGCCTTGTGTTAGGTCTTTTTTGTGGATGCCTTCTATCAAGTGGTGTCCCTTCTATGACTGCCTTGGTCCACCTGCCATCAGTTCTTCTTGCTATGTGACCAGCCCATTTCCATTTCAATTCTTTTACTCTCTTGATGATATCCTATACTTTCATTTGTTCTCTAATCCATGTGCAGGTCTTTCTATCTTGTCTTGTGATGCCAAGCATGTATCTTTCCATGGCTCTTTGTGCCACTCATAGCTTTTATACCAATTGTGAGGTCGGTGTCCATGTTTCATAATGTTAAATAATTTTGTTTCTAATACTTTTTTTTTTTTTACTGTTTTTGAAATTCCAATTTGAGCGTGCCCTCTTTTAGAGTTAATCTTCTTAACAGCAGCTACTACATTTTGGGATGGCAATGGGGGTGTGGGCACTTTCATTTATACTGTTTGGGAATTATATTTGATTTTAGATTTCTCAATAAATGTGACTGTGTATTTTAAAAAAAGGACCAAGTATTATGAATTTAGTGACCCAAAATAAATAAACAAATAAACATGCAATAAATAAAATATTCATATTGTTGTGCTTCAAACAATTCTTTAATTTGAATATGAATGATTCATTATTCATTAGTTACAATGATAAAAACAAATTGTTTTAAATGATTGCTTGTAAGGCCTATTACCTTAATTAAAATGTGCAGAATTATAAACATTATGTACTTTATAACAGCTTATTTTTGTTCTTTAGGTTGAGCTTAGAAAGTGAGGGCAGTGCAGAGATGATGATGATGATGATGATGATGATGATGATGATGATGATGATGATGATTTTTATCAAAATCATTTAATCCAGTTTTGCCCAATGTTGCCCTAAAATGTATTGAAATACAATACTCATCATTGAACAGAAACAATCCATATGTCAGGGTTCTGACCAATGCCCTAATTAAAGCATGAGCATTGAGCCAAGCTTCAAAAGAAATCCAGTTATTTATTAGGAGCTTCATGTTGGCATGTTCCAAGTGAAGCCAACTCTGACCTCACTTAATTTACATCCCGGCTCTGACCCTGTTTCCTCCCTCCCCCCAAGATGTGTCATCAGTCACATTCTCCAACAAAGCAATTTCATGGGTTATAGAGATCACTCCTCTCTGGCCACTGTCGGTAACCGCGGAGATGGCCTTGACAGAGGGATGGGTTTAATGTGCTTTTGTTTTGACTGAAGTGCTCCCTCGCTGCAGCTGCAAAGTTTGTTTTCCCATCTCCCTTGCCTATGGCAACTCAAGAGCAGGCCAGGGGTGCTTTGCGAGTTGACACCATACAGTCCAATTGGACTGAGGTGGTAAATAATTTCTTAAATAATGATAAATAATTCTGCAATTAAAATCATATACAATATATTGCACTGTCTCAGATTCACTCCTCATCATGTCTACAAAAGATTCTCTCTTGAAACAGAAGAAAAAATATATCTAGAAAAGTGTTAAGGCCTCATTTTTAGACATACACACACACACACACACACATACATTTAAAATTCTAAAAAAAATACAATAATTTGTAAATAAAATTAAATGCATATTTTATTTATTTAAAACATTTATATAGCTGACCATCTTATATAAAACGTTAGGTGGTTTCCAATATGCAGTATATAAGGATTAAAAAAGAAGACCAAGAAAAATAATTCATAACACTTCATATTAATAATTTGTTAATATTCCTCCCACACATTAATCTATTCATCTAGAATAAAATAATTATGCTTTCCCTTTGTTGGTGTAAGATATAAACTCAGGCCATATATTTGAGAAGGCTTTAATTTTAGTTTGACCAGAACCCAGGTGAAGCATGTCAATCAAATTTTCAGCTATGGCAATATGTCAAGTATTCTGTACCAAAACTCTAATGTCATAATTTTATCCTTCAGGTAGTTAACTATGGACATTCTGGTGGCAATCAATAAAAATGCCACTAATTCTTTAGGGCCTTAAATATATATATATATTCAACAAAGCAAGTTGTGGGCACATTCATACTTTGGTTACTAACATTATCAATCTCTCAAAATACCACAGACCAGAAGGAAAAGATGTGGAGACATTCCCCTTTCTTATAACCATTTCAACATCACCACCAAGGGAAAGGGGAAGGAAAAGCTATAAGGTATCTGAAAGGTATAAGGAGTCATGTACTATCTACCAAAGAAAACAGTCTTTAATTTCGGTTGAAGATTATGACCATAGTTTCCATCTCCATTTTTCCCCAGTTCTGATTCATATATATATATATATATTGAAATATTTTGCCTAGTAAATTTTCAAAAGAATTGCAGGTTGTTGTAATATAATGTGAGAATATTATGTAATTTAGAGATAAAACTTTTGGATGAATCCTGCACCTCCTAGTGAATTGTCGCAATCAAATACCTCATATTCTGGATCAAAAATACATTAAAAAAGCTTCTACTGTACCATTATCAACAATGTGAAAGCTAATAGAACTCATAAAGAAGTGGTCACAATACACAAAATAGGCCATTATGACAAATACTGTGGTCCCAAATTCTTGCCACACTGTGATGATTGGGTGATTATCATCCTGGGCATCCCTCCCTCCCTCCCTCCCTCCCTCCTTCTTCCATGCATGGATGCAAGTTTTCTTAATTCAAATGTGGCACATCTGAATGGGCTGGATGGTTGTAGCAGAAAGCAGATAGAATTATTAGACTGGAAACAAATGTTCTTCAATTGCTCATAGTACATGAATAATAGAATGAATAAAATGGACAAACAGAGCATATTTACTAGGGTGCATTTAATGACAAACCCCATGCACAAGTAACATAAAGGTCTAAAATGTTTTACTCTACTTTGGTCATTAGTATTGTTAGCATTTCTAGCATTGTACCATTTATGGTCACCAATTTCCTGCATTCTTGCATATTGATTTATTGGCAAAAGTTATGTTTCCTGACTTTCTAATTCTCTTTGATTTCTCAGCAAAGCTGTATTTCATTTTTCCCGACATTCTCAGATTACTACAACCATTTATCAATTCAGCAGAAAATATTGGAAAGAATGTCTTATGCATTTTTATACAATTACACTTCCTTTAACTTACACACCATTGCAATCACTTTTCCAAGTGTATGAACTTTTAAGCTCTTTTTCCATTAGAAAATGTACATACTTCAGTGCACACATTTTTCTGGCTATCTGAATCCACAAAATTTTAAAATGTAGAAATGGGTTTTGATATGAATATATAAAATTCTTGTACATATTCAACAGGATTCAACAGGATAATTTTTTTTCTCTGCATTTTTTCATATTCCAATTCTTATTAATTCCTATCCTGCAACATGATTCTTTTTCATGTTTTGTGGTTTTGCCATGATCACTTGGGGAAACAAAACAGTCACACAAAGTGCTACAGTTGGAGACAATAATATAGACCCCCAAAACTAGTTTCGTATGTCAAAAAACCAGGCTGAAGTCAAATAAATTTAATAGTTGAGTCTGGGAATGATAGGATAAATATGTCATAACTGTTTTTCTAAGTATATATTAAGCTGCAACATTGTATGCTAAGGCACAATTGAGATTAGACACAATATAATTAAATGCAATTGAAAAATATTTAACACTACATTTGATGAAAAAGGATATTGAGAGAGGACTTAAATTTTGCTTTCTTTTAGTTCTGCTAGGTAACTCTCTGCATAGGAAAAGAGCTCAGTTACTTTAACTCTTGTCTAACATTTGTCATATTCTCAATTACAGCCATTTATCTCATCTATGAAAAATAATTGCACCCTTCGTTGGTCTTTGATGTCCTCCAGAATGCTTAGCTTCCTCTTTGATCCTTTTGTAAATGTTCCAAGCTACACTGTGGCATATTTTAAAGTGAATAAAGGTGACAAAAGTTGATGTTGCAGTTTAGAAGGGTCACTTTGTAATTTGTAGGGACGTTAACCACCACAGTGATCTTTTGAAGTATCTTTATTGTATGAGGCAACCTGATGTTCCATTACATAGAAGTCAAAGTAATTGAATTTATGCCAGGGCAAAGTAGCAGTGGATTGCCTCAGTTTTACTCAAAAGATTGAATCTGTTTAAGATAAGCTTCTGATAACTTCATGGACATATTCTTTTAGTTTTCAGCAGTAACATGAAAGTATTGGCTTCTATCCCCCCCCCCCGCCCTCCAGTTTTTCAATCTAGTTTAAAATTGTTGGCTGTATAATCTAAAATGCTTATTTTAGCCTTAATCCTGAGAGTTCTTTCTAAGAATATAAAAGATCAAACAATATGGTCAAAAAGAGAGAAGCTGGTAATTGGCTAAAACGATATACACTGTTCCCATTACTATCACCTACAATAGTCTGCCATACCATCATATGGTATTATATCATCATATATCATTGTAAAACAACCAATCGGGTTATGAGACATAATAGACCAGATTTTTCTCATTGGGCTGTCCTTCCAAATGTATTGAATTTGAGCTCTCACAATCCATCATAGACCATTAGCCAATGAACCCAAGTGTTATGCTGTTAGGGAATGTGGGTATTGAAGTTTAATACAACTTCAGGATAACTGGTTGAGTGAAGGATGGAATAAATTCATTAACCACCCCACCATTAAGCTAGATATGATTGTGTTTGCGGTGATGGGAAGGGAACAATATTCTAATTAGAAGTAAAGAATACTATAGAACTGTAACAGAGAACATTTTTGATTTATGCCTGTTTGGAAGAAACTGTAACGAATAGCTATGATAGCTTGTTGCAGCCAAAGTTACAGAGATTTATAGCAAAATGAACACTTTAATAATATATCTATTATATATCTATCTATCTATAGGGGCCACGGTGGCTCATGTGGTTAGAATGCTGAGTCAGGGAGACCACTGAGAGGTCGATAGCTTGGCAGTTCAAAACCTGAGAGTGAGCCATGGGATGGAATGAAATGTCAATTTGTACCAGCTCCTGCCAGCCTAGCAGTTCAAAATGCAAATAAATAACTAGTTACCACTTTGGTAGGAAAATACCAGGACATGAAAATACCTGAGAAACAAGGATGTTACTGGCTAATCCCTTCAACACAGAAGTGCCTTGGTAGACGCTTCCAACAAAAATGTAGTAGTATCTATTGATTAGAATTTACTTCTCAGATACATAAAGAGTTATGGTAAATTATAACAATGAATCTAAGTACCTTTTGGTGAGAACACTATCAACAATGAGATCCACTATCATGGTGGCCACTTATGCAAATACAATTGAGATATGAGAACGATATCAAGACGTATGGCTTCTATAAAGAACAAACAATATTTAATCAAATAATGTTGGGGTAGATGAAAAGTTAATAAAGAAAATATATAATTTCCTGTTAAGCTTAAAAATGGAAGACGAACAGATAAAAGAGACAATGATAGCATAGGCAAAAAAATGTGGATATACTATAGAACTAGACAAATGGCAAAAACTGTAGGAAAGAAACTGTAAATTGACAATGAAAACTGCTTATAAGGAGATCTATAAAATGTTTTATAGGTGGCACTTACCACCAGCGAGACTAGCAAAGATGTTAAAAAATTTGTCCTCCAGATGTTGGAAATGTAACCAGACACACCACAGATATGTGGTAGACTTGTGCAAAGGCAATGAAACATTGAACAAAAATACATACATGGTTAGAAAAAATGTTAAAGCAGCACCAAGATTATAAACCAGAAATATTTTTCTTAGGCCTAGTACCAGAAAAGTATGACAAGGGGAATACAGTATATATTTAATATTACATGTATTGACAGCAACCAGATTTGTATTTGCACAACACTGGAAAAATGAGGAAATACCTACAGAAGAAGATGTAATTAATTTTTTTTTAGATTGTGCAGAAATAGGCAGATTAACATTAAAGATGGAAGAAAAAGAAGAACATGGGATTTGTTTTACAAATGGTTGGATAATAGAGGTAGAAATTAGGAGCGGGAAAAGTATTATTATATAAGCAAAATGATCCAGACAATATGCTGTTCATTAAGCACGTATGTATGTAATGTGAAAATGTATAAATAAACTGTTAAAAAAACAACAACAATGAGGTCCAAGGGATATGAAATGCAGTAAAGTCACTATCTTTTTAACAGTCACTCATAAAATTATTTGTGGTTGCTTAAAAACATGCTGATTCACATATTATCATTTTAATTAATGATTTAATTTATACATGTTATCTTCATTTATATAAAATTAAAAATAGGTGGTGTGTCACACAAATTTATCTCAAAAATGCCTCAATTTTTACACTGTCGCAAGACTGACTTTTTTTAAAAAAACTGGATGTTGCAATATTTTCAGGATCAGACTCAATAAAGATAATAGAAGTTAAAGCTTTAAATATATTTCTTTTTAATTATGATAGGCATTCTATATTCACTGAATATTCAAGGTAGAAGCGACGAGAATGGTGAGGGTGGCTCCTTATATATACAAGGGGTGGAGCTAGGAATGGGAGTGGTAAGTTATGAATACATTAAAGTCCAAAGAATAAGTTAACCTCTGATGTTCCATATATACATTATTTACACATTGGAGAATAAGGCATTTACATCTGACACTGGAATTAAGTCATTTTAATTCTATGGCACTCACATATAGAATTGTAGAGCAAATGATGAACTTTGACAAAGGAAAACTCATTGGACAATTTAAACTGAATCACAATATTAGTAAATATAGAAATCTCCAAAGGAAAACCATTTGCTACAAAAGGCCAATTCAATACAAATGCTACTGGAAAATGGCTGGCAAAATTATAGCTTGACAGAAAGCAATTTGTGTCTCTTTGCTTGACTCCAACCCTGGCATCTGGTGACATCATATCAGTGTAATTCAGAATCAGGAAAGGTCATTATATGAAATCTCTGATTTGATGAGCCGATTTCTAAAAAGTGACAGAAAGCATGTTAAAAAAGACATGGTAGACATATAGAAATGGAATGATTATTATACCTCTATACATCTACCTCAAGAAAATACATATTTATAAACCACTCTAATGTAAGTATGTTTTATGATTTAGGGCAAAAGTTGTCTTCTCTCCAATATCTGCCAAGCATGAGAATGAAGAGTTACATTTTAGATTAAGAAGAGTTTAAAAGGGGAACCGCTGTTGACACCATTCAATTCTCCAAAACTGACAGTTCAGTTTATTTGAACTTGTATGTGCTTTAGGTAGACTTTTAACCCATTTTAGAAGCCTTGATATAAAAATGTGTTAGTGATTTGATTATGTTAATATTATGCTATGTTCTGCATAATATTATGCATACATTTAACTCTAAGCTTTAAGATTGTTTTAGCCTATTTTAACCTGTAATAAGGTTGCATTCTAAGGAAAAATAGACAAAAATTTCTAGAGGTGAATGATTTAATAATAAATACTATGTGTTTTAGTCCCCAGTGAAACATATCTCTCAAGAGAATTTGATACTATATTTCAAAACCTTCAGGTGGCCTTGGAACTATTAAGCTAATGACTTAACTAACATAAAAACAGAATTTTTTAAAAAACTCTAGAGTAATTAGTCTAGAGCTGATCAACATATTCTGGAAGAACAGGGTGTAACTATAGAAGGAACTGTAATCAATTCAACATTTCTTAGTCATGTCAAAACATTAGCTAATTGGGATACTCAGCCAAAAGGACTTATTTTGATTTACTGTACAAGATCTCAATGGATTATGTTGTGAATCCTGTCTAAAAAACTGGAAGAAAATAAAGGAACACAATGTTAGTGAGATTGCGAACTAGTCTAACTTCCTGGATAATAGAATAATAAAGGTAAAGGTAAAGTTTCCCCTTGCACATATGTGCTAGTCGTTCCCAACTGTAGGGGGCGGTGCTCATCTCTGTTTCAAAGCCAAAGAGCCAGCGCTGTCCAAAGACATCTCTGTGGTCATGTGACCGGCATGATTAAACGCTGAAGGTGCATGGAATGCTGTTACTTTCCCATCAAAGGTGGTCCCTATTTTTCTACTTGCATTTTTACATGCTTTTGAACTGCTAGGTTGGCAGAAGTTGGGACAAGTAACAGGACTTCCCTCCATTACGTGGTGCTAGGGATTCGAACCGCCAAACTGCCAACCTTTCTGAATATTATTATTCTGAATATAATAATATGACCATGTAAATACAAGTATGGAATCTTACTAGCCATTAAAACAGGAAAAAGGAGCTATATATAATACCCATCATGCTATAGGGATAAACATTATTATTAGAAATATGTAGAAAAATTAAGAAGTAATAAGAAGGGAAGGTTATTGTCAACCCTGTTCACTGTACCTGTCTACCTCTTTTTATCCTGCAAACATCCTTGCTTCTACTACCTTCATATATTGCTGAATATAGTAGCCATTGTTTTTAAGCTTCTCTCTCAGACTGCCACGCCTTTCTTGCACTTTCTATTCCTCTAGAGCGGTGTTTCTCAACCTTAGCTGTTTGAAATTGTGTGGACTTCAACTCCCAGAATTCCCCAGCCAACATAGCATAACATAGCTAGCTAGGGAATTCTGGAAGTTGAAGTCCACATATCTTCAAACTGTCAAGGTTGAGAAACACTGCTCTAGAGTCTAGACCATTGATTCCTTATTCATACATGCATTTTTCAATTTGATTCAAAGTAGTTTTTGCTCCAAATGACCATTACTATGTAGCCTCAAATGTAGCCATGTTTTTTTAGCCAATACTGCATGCCATTCCCAGCAGTAGGAACACAGTATCCCTAACTTTAATCCCTACTTTGCCACAGGCCTCAATGAACTCACCTTGACTCAATTATTCCTTGAGACTTTCCTTCTTTATCACCTTAGTATCATAACACTGATGGAGACAATTTTATTGCAAGTAATAAATATTGCTTGCAATGTTTATGGACTCATCAATTGTCTTCATTTTGTATCATTGCCCCATCATGAACGATCATAATTGTTTGAAACTAAAGCCAGTTCTATATTAATACAAAATTTATAGGCACTCATTAATTGGATAGAGTAATAAAGGAAGAATTAATTCGTGTGTTAGGTATTCAAGGCGTTCATAGCAAGTTTAAATATTTAAAGACATGCTTAAATCATTAAAAAGTTAGGCACACCAGCTGAACATATGCATAGGAGGTGCCACTGAAATAAACTGCTTTATTATTATTATTTTTAAAGTAGACTCACTTAAGTTGTGTTTGACACTAGGTGTCTTCACAAACATGCCCTATCATGGCAACACTATGGTACTGGTTTTGTTTCAAGATGTCTTTTAAATATCCCAGTCTATCCTACAGTCCTGGGATTTCCTAGTGGTCTCCTATACACTTACCTTTTCTAACCCTGTGTAAGTTTTTATTGGGGGTGGGCGGTTGGCCATTTGACTAAATGTTGCCACCTGTTGTGTGTGTGCGTGTGTGTGGGGGGGTAATGTCAGTAATAGTAACACAACTTCCCAGAGAGGAGTCAGAATATGCCAGAGAAAGGCCCAAGACAAGAGAATGTACAGTCCTGAACTGGATGAGGGATGGAAGAAAAGGATCAGGATAACCTCATGTCATGGGGTATAACTGTTAGGTTAAGTTAGAAGATTATAGCTTTAGTCTGGTGAGATTCTGTCTATTAGATGTAAGCAAAGAACTGGACTTGATTGGATCTCACTGTGTTGTTTTTGGGCTTAGACCTGACATCAATTGATATACAGTTTTATGCTTTTATCTTGCCATAATAAAACTATTAAAACATCCATGGTGAGGTTAAAAATCAATCAAAACAATCACAGTAATAATGATAACCATATCACCACCACCTGATCTCCAGAAATGTAAGAGCAAAAAACCCAACAAGAAACAGAAAATAAAACAAGAAGCACAAAGGAAGGTGATATCAGATATAAGGTTCATGAAAAGATACTTAAAACAATTCAGTTTTGAAAAATTTAGAGTAGTCAATAAGAGGGGGCTAGCCTGATTTCCATCAGGAGGCTGTTTCAAAGTCCAAATGCTACTCCAAATAAGCAGTGCTGTCCAGCCTCACATTCAAATCTCATAGAAATGGGGTATTGCATGAAGTTTCTCTCCTGCTATTCTAACTGGTTAGAGCAGGCTCTGAAGCACACATATTCTTCCTAACATAATATTTATAAAGTATGACTGAACCTTTCAAAGATGATAGATCTGACCTTATCCATGTCTATGGCCTGATCCAACTTACTTGAGATAATATTGGAAATTTGGCCTTGGATCATTGATGGAAGAATGTACAGTGAAATTTCAAATGAATTTGGAAGCCCTGGAGAAAACATCTAAGGAGAGCAAACCATCTAAGAAGGAGTATTGAGGGATCCCCTCCCCTCCTCTTTTCTCATTTACCAGAAATTAGATCAGTTGAAATGGATCAAATGGCAAAGAACTTAGGTGATTTTCAATTGTTGGAGATAGACTTGTTTTGAGATAGATTTGTAATAGGAAGTGATTAAGTTTTCCCGTTCCACAGCTTCCTTTCACAGCTGAATTTTTAAAATTATTTTCATTTTGCT